TAATGATATGTGAGCTGTATATTTTCATTACTACTGAGATGTCCTTGCTCCTAAAATCTATCAGCTGACATTGCAAAGAACTATATTTTATATTAGCCATAAGACTTAGTCTGTTTTCTGTTGCTATAACTGAATACCTGAGACTGGAAATTTTATAAATAATCAAAGTTTATTTTGCCATTCTGAGAGCTGGAAATCTAACATAGTACCAACATCTACTGATAACATTTAATGGATTTTGAGGAATACATACTGCCTTATATCCACAATTGCAGTATTATACAGAATAATATTATCAACCTGAAAATAATTACATGTACTGTATCTATTGTATTCTATAGATGTCTGCTATACTTATACACTCACTTATTGAAGGATATCTTCATTGCTTGCAGTTTGGGAAGATTATGAATAATGTACTATAAACATTTACATGGGGATTTTTGTACTTTGGGTGGATAGAGTTTTCAAATTAATTTGTTAAAGAACTAAGATTGTACTAGCTGGGTTATATTTTAAGATTGTGTTTTGTTAATACTAAACTGCCAAACTGTCTTGCAAAGTGGATATATCGTTATTCATTCCCATCTGCAGTGAATGAGAATTCCAGTCACTCTGCATTTTCTCTAGCAAATGGTATTGTAATTTTGAGGATTCTAACTATTCCCAGAGATGTGTAGTCTAAATTTTCAATTTTCTAATGACACATGAAATTAAACATCTTTATGTATGCTTACTTCCAATTTGTGTATTTTCTTTGGTGAGGTGTCTGTTGAGATCATTTGCTCATTTTTTAGTTGAGTTGTGTGTTTCCTTATTGTTAAACATGAAGAACTTTTTAAATCGTTTATCAAATGTATATTTTGCAAATAAGGGTCTATGTGAGTTTTTCTTTCTTGAATTGTGCTTTTTAACCTAACAACACATCACCAAACTTAAGAACACTTAAGTATCTTCCCATGATTTCTTCTAGAATTTTTTTTAGGTTTTTTTGCTTTGCATTTAGGAGTTTGATTCATTTTGGTTTAATAATTGTGAAAGACGTAAGTTTTTTTGCTTAGATGTCCATATTGTTCCATATTGCTATATTTAGGTGTATGTTTGTTGTAAAGACTATTCTTTCTCCAATGACTGACTTTTGCTTCACTGGCAAAGATTAGTGGACTATATACATATTTTTCCTAGACTCTATATTCTGTTCCATTGATCTACACAGCTAATGACAACACCATGTGTTCTGATTAATATAGCATTTTAAGTTTTTAAATCAGGTACTATGAGTCCTTCAAACTTGTTCTCTTTTTTTCTCCCAGTATTGCCAATTTTAGGTCTATACTCTTCCCACATAAACTTTAGAATAGTTTCCAAATAAAACTTAGAAGCAGTATTGTTCAGGTTAAGCCTATTCTTAATAATTTTATGCCTTCTTAATATTACTATATCAGTCAATGATTAAGGACTGTTGAAATTTTCAGCTGCAATTACAGATCTGTCCATATCTTGCAATTATATCAGTTTTTGTATCATGTATCTTGATGTTCTGTTATTAGATACATATTAAAAACTTTGTGACATTTTGGGCAATTACCACTTTATCATTTTGTATGTCAATTTTTATTCCCATTATGCTTCTTCCTCAGAAGACTAATTTTTCTGAAATTAATTTAAATGCCTCAGTTTCCCCCCACTCCTATACTAGAGATTGAACTTGGGGGCACTCGACCACTAAGCCACATTCTCAGTCCATTTTCTATTTTATTTAGAGATGGGATCTCAAGGACTTGCTTAGCACCTCGCTTTTGCTGAGCCTGGCTTTGAACTCACAATACTTCTGTCTCAGTCTTCTGAGCCCATGGGATTACAGGCATGCACCACTGCACCCAGCCTCAGCTTTCTTTTGATTAAAGTTATCATGGAATATCTATCTCCATCTCTTTGCTCCCATCATACCAAGTTATTATATTTGAAGAATGTTTGGAGATAAAACAAATATGTTTTGATTGTTTTAGTTCAGTCTGCAAATCTTTGTCATTTAACTGAAGACTGTAGGACTTTCGTATTTAAAGTGTTAGTGATATATTTAACATGTTTATACCTCTGTTTTCTCTTTCTCAGTAGTTTTTAGTTTCTTTAGTTCCTTTTTTCTGTTTTCTACAGTTTAATTAATAATCTTACATGATTTAACCTATCTTTCTTAGATGTCAAATATACTTTTTACAGTTTTGTGAGTTATTCAAGAGTTTGCTTTATATTTTTAACAAATCTAAGTCCACCTTCAAAAAACAATATATTGCTTTGCACACACTGCTTAGTACTTGTAACAAACAATACCCAATTGTTTCTTCCCATTCTTGTGACAGTACTATCATTTATTTCACTTACCCATATGCTATATTTTATATGTAGATTGTTGGCTAGCATTACTTTAAACAAACCCTAATTGCTTAGATTAAAAATATGCAATATAAAATATTTCATTTTACCTTCTTGCTCTGATGCTCTTTCTTTGGGTAAATCTGAGTTTTATAACTATAACATTTTCCTTCTCCCTGAGGACCTCTTTTAAAATTTCTTGATGAAAAGGTCTGGTGGTGATTAATTCTTTTAGTATTTTTTTCTGTGAATGTTTTTATTCTTCTAAAAAATAATTTTACCTGATATAGAACTCCATATCACTGGGTTTTTTCTTTTGACGTGCTTAGAGTTTCATTCCTTATTAGTCTTGCTTGCACGATTTCTGACAAGTCCTCTTAAAGTCTTACCCCTGTTTCATTTATTGATTTATTGTTATCAAACAATATTTATTTATAGTTACCAAAGCTCTTCATTCCAATGGCTTCTTTCCAGGTTTGCTATTAATTTTTGACTTTCTGAAGTTTGAATATGATATGATTAAAGTAGTTTTTTTGTATTTATCCTGCTTAATATTGTCACTGCTTTTTGGATCATTGATTTGGTGTCTGTCATTAATTTTGAAACATTCATAGTGATCTTTCATTCAAACATTTCTCCTTGCATGGTTCTTGAATTTTCTCTTTTTTTCCCATTATTTTTCTCTTTGGATTTTTAGCTTGGAAACTTCCTGCTGACATATCTTCAAGCCCACTGATTCTTTCCTTAGCCATATCCACTCAACTGATGAAGCCTTAAGAACCATTCTTTACGTCTGTCAGACTTTTTCTCCTTTTGATTTTTCCTTAAGCTTTGCACCTATTTACATACATCATGTTTCTCTGGCACATTGACTATGTTTTTTTCCACTAGCAAATTAGTGTTAATTATATTATAAGTTCACTGTTCAATAACTCTACAATTTTATTCTATCTGAATATGATTTTGATATTTGCTTTCTTTCTTATAGACTGTTAATTCTAGTTTTTTTTTCTTTTCATCCTATCTTGAATATAATGTCTTGTTCAAAGCCAACTATAATGTATCAGATAATAGGAGTTGATAAAAGTAGACCTCTAGCACAAGTGTTTATGTAAATGTGAGAAAACTGGGTTATGTTTTATATTTGCTATCACTTCAGGTGCCAAAAACTTCAAATTCTTCCAGTACCTCTGTTTTACTCTCCCCTCTACATGTGGGCTTTCCTAAGGATTCTTTTTTAATATAAAGCTTGTGTATTTCAGCTCTTTGAGGTATAACTCAATGTTATATACTTGAGCCCTATTGGTGTAATGGTAAGGTATGAGTGATCACAAGTATCCTATAATTTTAAGATTAAATTCCACTTGAGAACTTTGTCCCTGGAGCATGACCTTCATAGATGTTTCTTATCATCCCCTCTGCCTCTAGTCTGGCTCTCTTAGATGAAAAAAGAAAGACAAGAGTAGACTATAACTCTCAGGAAAGGCCTTTCCCAAGTTAGGGCAGGTTTTGATAAAGTTTTATCCCCTTGAGAGTTATGTCTTTGTTAAAGAGAACCCTCTCTACATGCTTCAGAAAAATTACTTTTCCTTTCCCTCTGCCAGAGCCACCAGGGGATTTGTTTTGATTTTTATCATGATGACCTCATGTGGTTACCACAAGTAAAACCCAGGAAAGAATGAGTGCTCCCTAAGACTGCAGCTGTAAGAGCCTTGGATTTATGCTGGTCCAATCTCAGCCTCCATCAATTCATCAGAATTATCATGTAGTGGTTGAGGGGAGGGAAGACTAGAAGTTCACTGTGTTAGATAGAGAGGAATGAAGGGAAGGAAGGGGGAATGAGAATAGGAAAGATAGTAGAATGAATCAGACATAACTTTCCTATGTTTATAAATGAATACGTGACCAGTGAAACTTCACATCATGTACCACCACAAGAATCGGATCCTAATTAGAATAAGTCATATTCCATGTATATATAATATGTCAAAACACACTCCGTTGTCATGTACACCTGAAAAGAACAAAAATATTTATCATGTGGTGTTCTTACCCTTGAATGGGTCCTGCTGCTTCTGCCCTAAGATAAGTTGTTACTCTCTGAATCTTCATATTTCTCCATGTTTCTGTATGGTGGTTTTCTCCGCCACCTCAATTCTCTAATGGATCTAAGGAAAGTTATGAATGTTTAGTCTGTTTAACTGTATTCTTGTTGTGAAAATGAGAGTGACAAATTTCAAGCTTTTAATAGGCTGAAGCTAAATCCAGAAATCCCTTTCAACAATTTATTTCTTGAGTATTTACATTAAATAATTTTTAAAAGTCTGAATGTTCATAGCAATTGGAAAGATTATAATGTTCAGAATTGTGAATGACGTGATTTCTTTTCCTATATACATAGGGTCACTAAGTTTTACCAACTAATATATGTAATGTTATAGTATTTAGCAAAATAATAGCATAGAATTCTGTGATTTTTAAATTATGTTAAAATTGAAAATAGTAAATTCTCAGTTTAATATATGCGTGGTGGGTATTTGTGCACATTTAAATTAAACTATGTCATTTAAAAATTATTACTTATTAAATTAAAATAAAGAATTAAGAATGAATAACAATGAATGGATCACAAGTAAATCACATTTTTATGTTGCAATTATATGAAATAACTTTTCCGTTCACATTTTATAAATTAAGAAAGTGAGACATTGAGCTGGGAGAACAGACCTATAATCCTAGCAATTTAGGAGTCTGAGGCAGGACAATCACAAACCCTCTGTCAAAATTAAAAAAAAAATAAAATAAAGCTCAATGGTAGAACACCACTGGGTTCAATCCCCAGTACTAAAGAGAAAAAAACTAAACACAAGAATTTGTGCTTTTATCACAAATTATTTTACCTCCCAAAATAATCTGAACTATCTGTCCACTTCAGATATCCGGAATGCTAGAATAATTTACATCTAAAGTCAAATTCATAAATTCATTAGATCATTTTCCATTGGAAAACATATCTCAGAATAAATAAGTACATCTTAGCTATCTGTACTAAAAGCTTATAGGCAAAAGAGTAATCCTTCTGTAAGTTAAATAATTTGTTTTGTTTTTTTCTTCTTGTCATCTCTGTTACTCATTATAGATGTTTTTCAGTTTATTATGGGGTTATATCCCAAAAATCCATCAGAATTACAAATATCATTAATTCAGAAATATATTTCATATATCTAATCTATCAGACATCATTGTTTAGTTTAGCCTATCTAAATGCGTTCAGAATATTGGCATTAGCTTACAATTGAGCAAAATTTAAAATGAATCCTATTTAAAATTAAAGTATTGAATATCTCCTGTAATTTATTTCATACCATGCTGAATGTGAAAAAAAATGGTTGCACAAGTATATTTTTATACAACAGTAATCTAAAAATTGTTAAGTTGAGCCATTGTAAATCAAGTATTGTCTATTAATAAGAAATATCTTCTTCACAGACACTTTTCAAAATGTCAAAGGCAATAAAATAGAATAAATTGCATTATTCTCTTGTTAGCACCATTAACATAGAAATAGTAAATATTATGCAATTCTTTATTGGTTTTGTTTCATGACCAAATGCAAATAAATCTTTTTCAACATTTAATAATATGCATTCAATCTCATATCCATGTTCTATAAATTGGCATGTTTTGAATTTCATTCTAATTTCAAAAAACCTTTTTGATTGCAAGGTATAATTTTAATAATCGAAATTGCTTTCCTGTAAGTAAATTATTTTCAGAGTACAGACTAGATACCAGGAAAACGCAATGATCTATTGTCTTTTATGTCTACAATTTGTTGAACAAGAAACTCTAAATTAAGAGCTTAGAAAACATCTTTGCTGGTATTTGAAATAATTAGTTGTGAAAGTCACGGTCCAAGACCCTTTTAAGATTTAGATTTTAAGTGATTTTTCTTCTACTTGTCATGTCTTGACATTTTATCATTTGGAATTTAAGGAAGTAGAGATTATTGCCCTCCTTGGAACCCTGTAGACAAATTGTATTTATGCTAGAGAGCCAATAATATTAAAAATAACCTGATTTTTATAGTCAATCTAGTAGCTCTTCTGCCTGAAAAAAGGTTTGCCCACCTGCATAAGAATTTGCTCTGTGTTTAAGTAAAATACTTTGTGTAAGTACTTTTTCAGAATGCTATTTTCAAGTGAGAAATTATCATTGCTCATTTGACCAGTAAAACCAATGATCTATTAGGCACTTTTTATTCAAGGTCTTAAGCACCTTCAATTTATTGTGCCTTCAATTTAATAAATCTGTGCTTCCTCTGACCCCTTCACAACATTTGAACATGGTATGGAAGAATTAACTGAAGATATTATTGTACAGTTTACTTCGTTTTTTTTTCTTTTTAATATCAAACTTCTAGAATGTAAGTTCCTCAAGGGCATGAATCGTTTTCTGCTTTAGCCATCAGTAAATTCCTAGTATCCAGAAAATGCTAGGCTCATAGTAGGTGCTTAATTAATACTGGATGAATGAATAAGCATCACCTTCCACTAGTAGGCCACATCCCCGAGGGCTACAATTTTGTGTGAGTCCCAATTATATCTCTAGTGCTAGAGCAGGCATGTTAACTGACAAGCCAAATGGTGGCCTGAATAAAATGACACCTATTTAAGTTATTTTGTCACTATATTTATAAAAGAGCCTGGGTGACATACACATTGAAGAAAGAATCAGCCTTCTCTTTTGGTTTGTGACTACCCCCCTTTCTCATGACAAAGGATCATTGCTTTCTCTCTCTAACCCTCATTTCATCTTTCTGTGTGTGTGTTTCCCTTTGATATGGCACAGTGAGCTCAGGTTCATAAGAAAATAGAATCACAGTTTAAGATCATATTGATTCTGGAGAACAACTGAGGATCCTGTTTTTTTCCTTGAAGAGTTGATAGGGTGGAATTCTAGAACCACCGTACGATGTGCTTCTGAAGAAAATTCAGGGGGTCATGAAACTCTGGCTTAATACCCCCAGAAAACCGCAAGTGTGTGGATGCACCAGGAAGAGGGGGACAGGTGATTCCTGCAGGTTAATATGACATGCTTTTTTTGAAAAGATCTTTCTTTGCTTTTACATTTTCACAGTGATGCTGTGTATTTCCATACTAATCTTTCTTTCTTTCTTTTTTTCTTTTGTTTTTTTTTCTTCTATATCTTCTCCCTTAGGAATCACAAAGGGAATACTCTGAAATGGGCCAAAGTCTCAGAAAAGCTGTCATATTCGCAAGACACCGACCTCCTCAATATTTTTTTCAAGGTATGCTGCTGCATAACAATCAGGGACGTGAAGGGTTTTCCTGCTGAGTTAACAGCTCTTTGTTGTGATGAAGTAAAGAAAAAATTATAGTAATTTTGAGGGTCAGTAACACAACTATGCCACATCATATGCTCAGATGGAAATCGAGTAAGTCAGCTACATTAGGACTGCTGCTGGGTTCTTAACCCTACTGAACACCAGGGAGGATTTTACCAGCCACTTTGTTTCCTTTAAATAACAGAAGTACTCTTAATAATGTCCTTTATTCCTGTGAGAATAGTTTGCTACTGATCTCTCTGGTTACTTACTAACAGAAGCTTCTGCTAACTGACAATTCTGGTTATGCTAATGAAACTTAAGAAGTGATGATTTAGAATAAAAAGTGGATTAACACATATTTTTTTTCTTTTTCAGCTACCTGCCGAACAGAGATGCATCTTTAGAAATTCTTCTAAAGCATCCCAAGAAATCATAAAATGAGGGTTATCTGACATTTGTCTATATACAAATGAAATGTTTAATCTTTCACTAACATTGGAAGGAAAATCTTATTTAAAAAGATCTCTGGCAAGAGATGTCAGAACTTCCAAATTGTGTCTTCCTTGTATGACCTGAATATGATCTTTTAAAATAAAATGTTGGTATTCTTAAAACAACTTGAGTGTGCTAGAAGCCTTTTCTTGCAAACAAACCTCATAGATCAGTGTATATAATAAAAGCAAACATTACTATATTACAAAATTTCATAAAATTTCACTTGTGTGGTCAATATAATAGCAATCATCAACAAAAATGATGGGATATCAAGCCACTCAATTATTTTGCTTTTTTAATCTTCAAAATAACACCAGAGCACTGTTCATTTACCATTTCCTGAGATTCTCTCACTCTTCTGATATTTTACTGCTTGAAATTCATCACCAGTGTGTGCCTCAGTGTTTGTTTTCAGTTATGATGATCTACACAGTCACCTTACATGAAAATTCGCTCTGTGCTCTCAGGAGTTTAGATACTAATACAAAAAGGATAAATTTACAAGATCAAGGTCTTGATAAGCTAGGTCAAGTTTACACCAGAGAAAAGATAACACGAACCATTCTGAGGCAAGCTGCGTTAAGGCTCACCATTAAGATTATGGCCTAAGTCTGGCCAGAGGTTTCAGATGGTGACTGTAGGATTAATATGTCCCAAAGACATAGTCCAACAACATGTTTTATAAAAAATTAACATTTTATAATCAAGATTTTTTTAACATAATGACCCCGATTTCTAGAATCCACTTAAAAATTTTAAGATCCAAAAATGGGAGCTTCCTTTCTCAATGCATCCCCCTGCCTTCTTCTCCTGTCTGAGTTCTATCCTGTTGCAGATACTATGTTTACAATAGATCTCAGCAATGCCTATCAGATCAAAACCTTATTTTGTCAGTGCAGTGAATTACATTAACAATGACATAACCTGAGCATGTATACAGAATTTAAGAAACAAAATTGTTCTATCCTCTAAAAAATTATTTTAAGTCTGGTACGAATTGATCAATATGTTTTGTGGCCATACAAAAGGGTAGAACCTTCTCTGATGGTTATTCTCCATGCACTGCATGCTCTGCAGTTGGTTTCAAACTGAGGAAGGAAAAGGATATTAGAGCATTATATTTTATTCCATGTCTTTTCAGTCTTAGACCCCTTTGAGGCTCCCTATTGCTCAGTGCATGGTGTCCAAAATCCTGTGTGTGAATATTTATTTTCTTTTCTGTTTTTATCACCTTATTTTCAAAGATTTTTCTAAATGGCTTTATATATTGAGCTTGAATAATGAGAAAATCATAAAAATGTCCATGTTTGGTTTTATTAATTCATGACATTTAAGTATACTTGGTTCAAATTCTAAATTGCCACTGATTAGTTATATGATCTTGAAGACCTTATTAATAAGTGAACTTAATCTCCATGAACTCTGGTTCAGCACCCAGTTCTTACAAGGATATAATTATATAAGAATAAATGTTGGTCATCCACTTTTTCTTGCTGATGCTATCCATTATATTCCCTTTTCATTAGTGTTCTATATGTATTGAACCGGATGGGTTCAATATATAAGAAATTTAATCGTATTCAATGTAAGAACCCATACCCATCACTAAATTCCCTAAACATCTACTGTAATACATAACTTATGATTTACTTAGTGTATATAAGCTTTATCTCTGCAACTATGTTAAAAATTTGCAAGGGCAAGGGAAATAACTAAAATAGCTGTAAAAAGCAGAAAAGGGTGAAAACAATTGGTATTTGTATATCATTTTAAGACAAGCTGATTTTTTTTCACATATTTTATGTCATTTCCAACTCAAAAAAAATCATGATAGGAAAGGTAAGTATCATTTCTACTAATATTGTTTAATATGAGTTTTCTGAGGCACCTAGAGAAAATGTACTTTTACTGCCTATAGTTCAAAACCCTAATTTGTATCTTCTTTCCCTGGATCCAGAATCCTTCCACTATTTTATATTATCTTCCAACAAATAGGGTAGTAAGCATATAGTTTGTTGCAAGAATTGTAAAATGTCCATTAGTTGTTCGATTTACAGAACCTGGGATAGTTTTTAGAATACACATAATCTTTTCTTCAAAGAGACACACAAATGTATCTTTTCAATGACGTCCCTGTCTACAGTATGAGAAATAAAATTTGTACTGATGTAAGAGGCGAGGAACAAGCTCTTTTTATTCTCTATTTTATTTCCAGACTACTTCAAGGAAGTGTTTTAATATTACTCTAAAATTTAATTAATACTAGTAAGATAATGCCAGAGTTCATCAGTCCCTATATTAATACCTCCTCATTTTCCATTTATGTGTGTCACGTCACTGACCCCAAAGGTTTGAGTGTGTCACCTCTGGCAAATACATGGCCTATGGGAAATATGTTACCTTTGGAAACTTTTTCTCTTGACCCATTCAAAATTATATTATTTTTTGATAGGCTCTGGGATTCAGCTCTAACTATTACATGTGGTTTCTACTTAATGGATTCTGTCTCTCCTATCCCTGATATTTTTTCAAGTTAATTATTTATAGTGACATGACAATGAATAAAAAGTTCACAAGGTGAAAAACTGAAAGACTGTTCACAAATAAATGGCCAACCTAACGGTGGGTATATAATATATGCCTCATGAAGGTACAATACTCTTTGTATTTATTTTACAAGGTCATAGATAATGGATCTGTACTACTGTAATCATACCAAGGACACATGATATGATAACCCAGGAGAGAAGCAAATGGATCTGGGCATTGGAGATTGCTCATGTGAAAGGAAAGGTCAGAATACTAATGGATAATTTACTGGATGGTTAAGCTTTCAGAATCAAGGTAGTTCTACACAAATGTACGGGGATTGATTTAGGTTTATTCATCCACCTTTCTGGCAGGTGGGAAGGATACAAGTGCACCAAATCTCTCTGTTGGTCATCAGCCCTGGATGTGAAAAAGATTCTTGAGTAGATTGTGGCAATGCTCTCCTAAGGAGATTTATTTATTGCCTTAATGTGATCATTGTCACTTTCCTAGTCATATGGGCTAGAAGCTTTCAAAGTCTAGTGGGCCTCAGAATCATCTGGAGAACTGTTAACAACACAGATTTTTTTTTTTTTTGACCAATAGCTCTCTCTTCTAGTCAAAGTTTCCAACTTAATAGGTAAGAGTTGGGGCCAGGGAATTATATTTCTAACAACTTGCCAGGTGCTGGTCTGTGAGAAGCATTGGTATAGACAGAAGAGGTATTAGTGTAGCAAATCCTCACACAGGTTTTTATTAAGGTGCAGGGTCTGCTTTAACCTGATTCCAGCTCCTTGCTGGAGTTTTAACAATGGTTAAGAGTGCTAAGCATTTTTATTTAAGATCTATTTTTATGAAAGGCAATATTTGAAAATAGATTTTAGAATGAAATCATGCTACAACCCCTTTAATGTTGACTAGCAACCCCCTTGAGCTCTTCCCCTTTTTACAACATCTGATCCCAGGGAAACTATATCTTTAATCTTTATTCCATTCTATGCCTCCTAGTTGCAGTACAAATCCATTATCTATGGGAAAAAAATTGCTTACGTAACTAGCTTAGTCTATCCTTTCCCTTAACCTCTTCAACCTTCTTTTAGTAATAGCACAGATTTTAGTTTAGTTAGTGTCCATGCTAGATTATTTATATCTGATTCAGTGTATTGTAATTACCCTTTTTGTCTTTTAGTCTCATCAATTGAACAACTTTTCATTTGCTTATTTTTTATATATTTATCATTAATTCATTTTTAACCTCTTCAGAACTTAACTTTGTTTTCAATATATTCTTTTGAAAAAAATAGGAAAGAATAACTTTGACTACCTGCTCTGTTTTTGTTTTTGTGGGTGGTGAATTTTAGTTATTGTTGTTATTTATTTTCTCAGAGATTTCCTTTCTGGAACCACTTTCCATCCCCCTTGCACAATCAGAACTGGAAGCTTCCAAGTTTTCTGCCTTCATTTCATATCTATCTATCTCTCTCTCTCTTTCTCTCTCTCTCTCTCTCTCCCCCTCCCCTCCCTCTCCCTCTCCCTCTCTATTTATTTTTTGTTTTTCTATTTCTTAGTAAGGTTCATTTGACCTTCATTTTCCAAATTCCTCATAATAATTTTTCCTTGCTATCACATTTTTTTCACTTCTCAAGACTCTTTCCTATATACTAAATGTTTCTTTCTTTTTAAATTCTTATTCCAAAGAAGAAAATTTCTTAAATTTCTTAAAGCATATTAAATTTTTATTTGTCTTGAAGTTCTCTGTGATTTAAATTGTTTCTGTATCCTTCCAGTTTGTTATGCATTTTGTTTACTTATGGCCTCGAAACTTTATATTGAAAGATCTCTCAAATGCCTGGGAATTCTAGGCTGCCATTCATACTTATGAATAAAGTAATGAAAATACTGACATCAAGTTTTACTATAGAGAAGGACTTGCTAACATATATTTCCCAGTTGTATACTGGGATCCAGTACCAGTTCTCTTTCTTCTGTTTCTAAATCTCCAGATTATAATTTCTGTCTGTTTTTCTGAGGGAAACTATAGCAGGCAGCTTTCTTGGAATCCAGCAAGGGAAGATAGGTTTGTTAATAATGTTCGGTATACAAACTGCCACAGGACCCTTTGCGGTACAGCTTTGGCATCCTTATGCTAAACCTATTAAACAAAAGAAAACAGAGTATACCCAGTAACCAGATGGAGCTTGGAGCTTGGAAATACAAAATTATTTCCATTTTTCATATCAAAGTCATTCATCTGAAAGCCATGTCTGTAAATTGGTATTATCTCCATCAGAATAGGATATTTTTATTAGTACTTATGTTGTATCTCAGCTATGCATTTATAGTGATAAATACTAAGTGGCATATCTTAAATTTATTTGATTATTTATAACTTTCCTAAAATTTATTTTATTATTTATAAACTTGCTGATTTTGGCATAAAGTCCAATTATATGATTGACATTAATTAGAAAAATCTTTTTTTTAATCTTTGCTCTGTATTCCCCAAATTTTATTTTTATAAACTTCCTTCCCCTTTTACTACATTTAAAAAATGTTTTAATTGGAGATGGACAGAATGCATTTATTTTATTTGTTAATTTTTACGTGGTGGTGAGGACTGAACCCAGTGCTTCATGCATACTAGGCAACCTATTTTATCTTTTTATAACTCTCTTTTCATTTTCCTTTTAAAATGTATCCTCATTAGTCTCAATGCTTTATATAAATTCAACATCACCCTTGTAAATTTGTTCCTTCATTTGTTTTCTAAACTTGTCACCATAAAGAGCAACAAAATCATTGAAACATGTTAAATGCAATGGCCTGATTTGGAAAATCATTTCTCTGATTTTAACTACCTTGTTTTTAAAAAAACATTATGCCTTATTGTCCTCCTCTCAAAACAAGTGGATCTTTTGTAAGCTATAAAGATGGACTAAAGTTAAATAGCTTTCATAAGCATAATGGCTGCATTCTTCTAAATCAAAGAAATGAGACATTTTATTTGCTTGAGAAAGGCTCTTAGAATAAAATTGCCTTACTGAACTTATTCATCTTTTGACTGAATAGACTTTTTTCTACTTTTCATATTTTTCTTCTCTCTGTAGATGGGTTACTTACAGTCCCCAAATAAAACAGACCAAGAAAAAAAAATAGTACGTGAATGTAGAAACATTTGTTTTACCTTAACTTTACTAACCAAAATTGTGAAGATAAATTTCAGTTAAAATAAATATTTTTTACTACAAAAAAACACCTTAAAAATAAGTAACTTCTGCAACACATACAGAGATCATTTTCAAGTTGATGTTATAATATATTGGTTTTGGGCAAAATTGTACAAAGATTGCTGTGACTACAGTTAATGAGTGTGTGATAATTTTAACTACAATTGTAAATATGAACTATACTTTGGAATATCTAGATGGAGCAGTGTTTAATAATTAAGACAGCAACTTCAGCTTTAACAGAATTGGTCAAATCTTTGTCACTATGGTTTAATTAAAATTATTGTTGTTCTCTGAGATGCATTTTAATTTGAAGAAAAATGGGGGTTTACAGCACAAAACTATTTTAAAGATTAAGCAAACTTTTATACCCAGAGAATTTGATACAGTAACTGCAACATAGGGAGCATTCAATGAATGGTTGCCATTATTATTTAAAAGCCATTCTAATATGTTTGATCAAAATGAGTGATACTGTATAAATCACAAACAAAATTAATTCAATTTACCACCCAAATCAGTTGCATTATCAATATTTATACATGGGGCCAATAAAAGCAGCTAAACATTTAGACCTAGAGGAGGTAACATACTGAATTATTAATGTCTTTCTGTGGATGCAATAAAATAGAAAATGCCAAGAGTTTTGGGAAAGGAGTGTTCCTATTTTAAAGGTTAGAAAAAGGATTTAAAATGTGTGTTTATCTAGTCACTAGCAATAGCTTTCTTTCTACTATACTCAGAGGAACCACTTATTTAACAAGTATTCTTTGATTGCCTGTTATGCGCCCGGCTGTGTTTACCTACCATGCAAAAGGAAATGCCTCCTTTTTATGCTTGAATACTTTCCTTTTCCACAGACATTTCCACTGGGCCTGGGAGATGGGCAATTCTATTCATGGACAGATGGTTTGAGAAGAAAGGACTGGCATGACTATGAAAGCATTCAGAAAGAGGCTATGCGCTCAGGTATGAAGTTCAGTGTAAGCCAAAGTGCTACTTTACATACTGCAGTGTCTCCTTTGTCACTTAAAGGGCCTTGAATTAGTGTTCCTTCTGCATACAGTCGAGTATGTCTCATGGGGTTGCTGGAGATCAACACAGGGCAGAACCAAAACAACTCAGAATTTCATAGAAAAACACAAATAATGAGCTGCAGAAAAGTCACTACAGGTTTAGAAATCTATAGGACTTTGCATTTCCAAACTTCATTTCAATAATTTCTGGGCTTTTCTTGAGACTTAATCAATGACGTGACCTGGTAAACATGTGTTTTGAACAAGATTCACTCATTAGGGCTGAAGTGTATCTCACTGGCAATGTGAAGGACCTAAGAGTTAGCTAATTTCTAGACATTGCAAGGGGCTTCTGAGAATCCATAAATCATATCAGCTGGGTATCTGAGTTTGGCAACACGTGAATGAAAAGGCAGTTAAATGAAATCAAGGAGATCTATACTATTGTAGGAGAATGCTAGTCTTGGGCTAGTGTTAGAGGACAGAGTAATAGGAAAGAATCAGGGCTTTTGGAGATACTGAAAAATTAGGCTGTTAGAAGAAAAGATTGAGAAGGATATATAAGTAGAAATAAAACGAACATGAGTCACACATGGTAGGAAGCTCATATTCTATTATTTGTTTTTCATGATGAGGATGTCACAGAAATAGAGCAGCTTCTGCTTGGTAAAGATGAACAGTCTGAGACACTGCATCTGGGTTGAACCAGCAACACAGTTATGACTGCCTACACTGTGAGGTCCTCCTGGTTAGTCTCCAGCATCACTCTTTCCCTCAGGATAATTGAAATGAGTATGTTTATGTCGTTGCAAAACTGTACATGGTACAATGTGTCAGGTATGGCTGACCTAATTACAGTCTTCTTTCATTTTCTTCTTTCGTTCTTTTTCTCCAAATAAAGTTCACCACCCCACAACTTCATTAGCAGCTTGTTCCAAAGATATGCTCTGTTTTGAGAGATTCAACCTCTTCTGGGTGTCACTGTCTTTCCACTTGGACCATGACTCCACATGTCATTATGAAATTTAGTTCCTTACCAGCTTCTTCTCTCTTTCACCCTCTTATGTTTTTGCCTCTGTTGGTTTGAAAACCCTATATTAATCCAACCATCTGTTTGTCTTTATGACTTCAAGATGCCAAAGTTTTTATTGGAGATGTTAACTTTATCTCATAGCTAAAGCTGCCACAAATTAACAACACTAATGAAAGAATCAAAAAACAATCATTGAATGGAGTTTTATACTATGAACTTCAAATATGAATTTTATTTAGACTTCAGAACAATTTCAGTAGGTATTATTATCCCAAATTTGTTGCCAATAAAATAAAATTGAGTCCCTAAGAATTATTAACCTTTAGGCCAAATAGTTAATAAACTGTAGAACTAGATTAAGAGCCTGGTTTTAGGACTGTGGTTGTAGCTCAGTGGTAAGAGCACTTGCCTAGCACATGTGAGGCACTGGGTTTGATCCTCAGCACCTCATGAAAATAAATAAATAAAATAAAGATATTGTGTCCATCTACAACGAGAAAAATATTTTTTTAAAAAGAGTCTGATCTTATACTGCTTCATTATACCCTCCTGTCTGACATCAAAACATAACATTTGGATAATAAGTGGTGATGATAGAGATACATGGGAGACAGACACAACTAGTTTCAAATCTCAATTTTCTATACATGAGCTAAGTGGGAAATCAATTTGTTTCTCATATTCTACTTTTCTGATTTTCCCAAAGGATTAAATATAATGTACTTAAAATAATTGGCTAATAATTATCAATCCATGTGATTATTAAACCATTTATTTTACTTTCACATCCCTTTTGCTTGTACTAGTGAGTTTTGGGTATAAGATCTAGTACATTATCTTTTTTTCTGCTTCATAACACTCATACCAACTCCTGGATAAACACGCTTTTATATTCTTATCTTCACTTGGACCTAGGAAAAATCAATCTAAAAAGAAAATTGGTAATGTAGCAAGTTCTTCAGTACAAATTCCTTGTTCAATTAAAAAGCTTTTAAACGTTAGACTGTTAGATGATTAAATAGAAGATATATAAAACGTGCAATAAGTACACTTCACTGTTTTTATATCATTAACTATATTATAAATAAAAGTATTTTGAAACGTATATGTATGTGTGAATATACACAAACATATGTGAGTACAGAAGCAAAATAAAATAAACATATTTTTATTCCATATGTAGGCCCAGAAATAATATCATTTGTGTCACTGTGTTCCCTTCAGAACTTAAATTTTGTGTTCACTCTAATTTTTATCTGTAGTTATTACCATCTGTGTATTTATTCCCAGACAAATACTGTCACAATCTGCATGTGTTTGAACTATATCTAAAAGTTGAATCACATCTTATTCTTCTTTCACTCAAAAAAAAAAAATTGAGAGTCAGTGTGTGTAACACTGGTTTTATTTTTACTGTTGCTAAGCTTTCTATTACATTCTCCTCTTCTTGGACATTGGATAGTTTCTAGGTTTTAGTTGTCATATATAACACTCATGTAAACATTCTCATGCATAGTTCTGGGTTAAAGACAATATTTTCTTATGACATGTATTAGTAGTCTGTTTGTATTTCCAGGGAATGCACATGCCAACTTTGGCCCAAAATTGCTATACAGATTTCACTTCAATAAAAAATTGATTGAATTCTCATTGCTGTATAACCTTCCCAACACTTCATAAGGTTTTAGTAATCTTTCCCAAGTTGTTGGTATGAAATGATACCTCATTGCCACTCAAAATTGTATTCTACTAGTTTTTAATGTGGTAACTTTCTTATTAATGTTTATAAATTAGTCATTTTTCCTTTTTAGTAAAATTTGTATTCATTTCTATTTCTCAATTTTTAATTTTTTCTCATCTTTACTGAGCTATATGGTGCTCTTAATTTATTCTGAATATTATTCTTTTTTCTCAATTTTTATTTTTTATCTCATCTTTACTGAGTTATATGGTGCTCTTAATTTATTATGAATATTATTCTTTGGTGGTCATGTGTGGTAAGAATATCTTATATTTTTCAGACAGTAAAAAAACTTTTTACATAAAATTTTTTAAAATACGTCATAACTTTAGTGTTAAATTCAGAAATCATTTTTTAAGTATAGGTTCTACTGTGTTCTATATTGTCTTTTGAAAACTTGACAATTTTATACTTTCCATTTAAGTTTTAAATTCAACCTATCTTCATTATTATATGATGTAAGTCAGGGATCCAATATTTATTTAGATTTAATATGCTTGCATATTCAATCTTCCATAATGTTTACTGGAGATTTAATTTTTCCTTTTATTTATGGAAGTGTGGACTCGTATGAACTGTTTCCATATTTGCATGTTCTCTTTCTGAGTTCTTAATTCTGGTCTATAAGCAAAAATTCCTGTGCTAGTGACACCACAATACCTTTGAATATATTGACAATAATTATAGATGTTTATAGTATCACTCATCAAGAAAAAACTATTTTTTGCTTTGTTTCTTTAGAAATGTATTGCCATTCTTGTTCTATCCTTCATATAACTTTCAGATTCAGCTTTAAATTTCATGTACACCTGGACTGGGGATGTAGCTCAGTAGTAAAGCACTTACCTACAATATTTGTGAGGCCCTAGCACTGTGAAGAAATATCACTCACAGATATACACCAAAAATAATGGAAATTGTAGAAGTGTATAGATAATTTCATAATTTATATTTACTAATATCAAATTTTCTATTTTGTGACATGTCATATTTATTTGATGCCTATTTATTATCTTTAGGATAGGGCTTTAATTTTATTTTTAGACATTTTAGTGTTAATCTTAGAAAACTAATACTGTATGGATGTTTTACATATTTTTTTATCTTACTGTTAGTCTACATTGTTTATAGCCAATAATTTTTAATACTAATTTGAATATAGGAATCATTCTAAACTTATCTATTACTTAAAATCACTTATTATAGTTTATTGTACATTTTCAATGTACAACAATTAAAAAAATAAAATAATATTTTTTTATTCTTACATAATTCTTTATTTTCTAAATGATCATATCTTTCTCATTATTTTACAGTGTTTTAAAAGTAATAGTGTTTTTAAAGTTTTCTTTCCATTCTAGACCTTATAATTTTTCTTCTTTTTTCTATTACTATACTTACTTACTATTCTATTGCAATGCTGAATTTTATAATTTTTACAAGTACAAATTTAAAATATTTTATGATTTTTATCTATGCCTCTCTATCCATTTATTTATCTATCTAGCTAGATAATATAAGTTCATTTTATCATCTTTACTATAATAATACAAATACTATTTGCATTGGAATCAGTTAACTTTATCACATTATTTCTGGATCTTGTTTGCTGAGAGTTTATGAATTTTACTTTTCTTTTAACCTAGAGGAGTGTCAATATTATAAAGCTTAGTATTTGTATTTATTGAAAAAGCTGATAAGTTGTCTTCTTTAATGTGTTATTTAAATAAATAATATCCATTGCTTTTTAATGGAAACCAAACATGCTAACCTGGATTAAATTTGTCCTTTTATTTGTCACTGGATTTGATTTCCTAATATTTTATCTGACATTGTGAAATCTTTAGAATGTCAACTATTAATTTTTCTTCCTTATAGAATCCTTGTCAAGTTGGTAAGAGTGAAATGACTGCTTCATACATTGACTTTATTAATACTTGCTATTTTTCCATGTTTATTGTTGTATGTTACAATTATTACTATTGATAATTACAGATATTTTGTGGGTAACATTATGTTGACCTGAAATATTTTTAATTACTGGGCTTAGTTACAAAATAACTATACTATTTAATTATCTATTTCTCCTGTAATTAATTGTATTTCTAGCAATTTGTCTATTATACCTAAATATTAATATGTATAAACATAAATTTACTCATAATATTATATTGAGGTT